GCTCTTCCCAGTGTCCGAAGGGAACAGGGACAGAGCCGCCCGTTGTTTTTGTTCCTCTCCGTTTCCTCTCCCTGAGGGATGTCTCTTGCCCTTCCCCTCCCCCGCCCCGGCTTGTTTTTCTTGTGGTTTAAAGACAGAACGTTGCGTTTTCGGGTCGTCCCACCGCGCCCCCGCCCCCGCCGCGGTCCCCGCTGCGCCGGCGGACGGGGCACGGGGAAGCCCCGGCGCGGGGGTCCCGCCGCCTTTTCCAGCGGCGATGCGGGGACTTGTGTTTTGGTTAGAAAGCGTTTCCACGTGGGTAAGCCTTGTGTGCGTATGTGCGTATGTGTGTGTGTGTGTGTGTGCGCGGGTGCGTGCGCGTACTTGATCCGCGAGGAGGTAACAGGATTCTCCGTGTTCAAACCCAGCGGGCTCTTAGCCATTAATCTCCTTCTCCTGCTGTCATTACAGACACTTCCAAAGTCAGATACCCGCGGAGAGCCGCCAGCGGCGTTTCACACGGCGCTTCTCCCCGAGCCGCTGGGGTTCCGCGCCCTGCCCGGCCGGACGCGGGGCTGCCCGGGGAGCAGCCCCGCCGCGCTTTCCGCCGGGAAGGGGGAGCGGGATCCCGCGGCATCGCCGCTGCCAATCGGTAGTTGGCATCTAAAGTTTCATTTACATTTATGAAAGTGCCGCTCGGAGCCAAGCAGGCGCGGTGCTGCCGGCTCCGGAGCCGCGGGCAGGGCTGGCAGCCGAGCGCACGGAGCGACGCGCTCGGGTCGCGCGTGGCGGTGTGAAATAGCTGGTATTTACAAAAATCCTGGGACGCACGCTGTACCAGACAAGGGAGCGACTTGGCCGGTTCCAGTTTAAGTATGAAGTCATGCTGGAACAGTAAGGAACCAGTATTTACAGTTTTCTGAGTTTTGTTTTACGTGTTTCATTTGCGGAGACTAGAAAGCGTATCTAAGATAAACTAATCAGCAGTTTAGATTTAGAGGGAGTTCTACAGAGAAGTCATCTTTTCTGTTTGGCAAATAGATTTTCTGGTCTGACCGCGGAGTTTAATGTTAGAAGCATGTACTTCGCAATAAATCCCAGGCCATATCTTTGTTTCATTTCCTTAACACTCAAAAGAAAAGTTTCGCAAAATTGCTGTGGGTTTGACTCTTCCCCTAGTATTTCTGAAAATGCTGCCGAATGCTTGCATACTTGCAGTATATATCATACTGTGAGTAAAGTGGAAATACAGACTGACATTTCTCTCTCTTCCCAGTGGTTCTTTCTCTGTTTGACATCTAACATTAGCTGGTGTATGTCTGAAACAGCTCTTTTTGTTGGTTTTTTTTTTTTTTTTAAATTGTGGTGGTATTTATGTTACCAAACGTTATTTAACCAAATTTAATAGAAATTAAAGTGGAGTATGTTGACGAATCTTTTATGTCTCTTTGTTCAGATAATTTTATGCAGTTCTTAATTGTTACATGTATATGGTGGTACAGATAATAAATCTAGTTGAAATTACTAATTAGTTAGTGAATTAGTTACTCTTGCTGGATTTGCATTTTTTAATGGCCTGACAACAATTTGCAGTATAAATTCATTCTGTATGGATAATGTCAGTGGAATAAATAAATCCTAAGCAAGCAATGTATTGAGTGGGGCACTGGTGGGTTCTCAGTTAATTGCAGTTCCCAGTTAAAATATTTCAGACAAGGCAAGTGTAGAAATACAGCTATAGATAGTATCATGTGGCATATTTTTAGCATCTGATGCAAGTGTTAAAGTTTAACTCTTTAAACTTTATGCAAGTCCTAGAATTAATATTAAACATTGGCATTTGGTGAGGGAAAGGTACCTGTCTATTTCTCTGATGAACTGGTGGTATTGGATGATGATGATGTGTGCAATCCTCCAGTGTTAAAATTTAAACAGCATTTTACTCTCTTCAATACAAAAGTTACTACAGAAAGAAAAAAGAAATTCCTGGAATTTCTGTTAAATGCTCTGGGACACAGCTATTAATTTTTTTTTCAGTGTTATCTTTTTCCTTCTCGAAGGTACAGATTTTATGAACTCAGGGTAAAGCAGGTCTCCCTTTTTATAAGGAGCGTTTATTCAGCATACTTCTATATTGCAGCTGCTGATCATATTTCATAGAGCTGTTAAAGCACTTAAAACCTAAAATTAGGTACTGTCTGGTAGTAAATATTTCAAATCACTCCTTGAAGAAATGGGCTTAAAAAAGAGACATTTTGAAATATATCATTGAGGAAAAGTAATCTTGCATTGCTTTTACTCTGTGCAATACCAATCTAAATCACTGATTTCAACACAGTGTACTTTTTCCTTAGGTTTTCTTAATCTCATGGATTTTTATTGTGATTTTATGCTGCCTTTATTTGATACCATAACCAGCTACTTTGTTCAAGCTATGTTTACGACGGCAACGCTTGAATTAACAGGTGTCAAATTAACTTCTAACATACCTGTATTTCCAATGAGTATTCTTGTGATACTAAGAACTGAAATATAAGTTCCCTCGCTTCCTGGTGTGCATGTTTCTGGCTGTTAGTTGCAGAAGGGGTACACTTGCTTTTTTTCCAGATTTTGGATGAGATAATTTACAGATTGGTATTTTCAAATTGAGGGGTGGGGTTAGGTTTGTTTTTTTAATTAAGCATAGGAATAGGTTTATTTTCTCACTAGCTTTCATTTTTGGTACTGTCAGAGTTTGCAGGAAAAATGCAAACAACTGGGACATTAGTCTGACAGATATATGTCAAATTGGTTGAGTATTTTTAAAGCTTTTTGGAAGTTCAACACTAAACCAAGTCTGGTAGCAGCAACACTCAGACATCTTTGCTTTTGTCTTTGTACTTGAGAATCCAGTAGTATTTCTGCTATCTAATATATCTGTAATCTTCTTGACATTTTGCGTTAAAAAATCCCCGTATTTATGGTATGCAACTGGAAGAAGAGTGTTGATACTCAGTCATTGATTGAGAGACTTATAAGTACGCCTAATAAGTGCTATTTTTCTTTTTTAGATTTAAATATTGTGTAAATGTGTGTTCAACTTAACCTTTTTCTGTCATTGAAAAGCGCTAATTGATCTTGCTGACCCTGACATAATAGTATAGTTTGATATTTGAAACCTTTCAGCTTTGGCATGGCCCTTTTATCACCCCTGAGATTTCAGGGCATGGTTCTACTGAAAGCATAAAGTCTACTCTTTGAAAAATTAAATAAAAATGGTTATTAAAAATAGATTATGGTCTTTTAAAGTCAGTCCATGTTTTACCTATCAAAGTATCAGACTTTACAATATACATTAAAAACTTTCTGATTTACTTGTATGTATTAGGTGACATTTTTAGATATTGCTGTACAGAAATCAGATTTTTATGAAATAATTTTTGGCCAATTCCACACTTCTGTGTTGCAGTGTTTTTAAATCTGTCATTAAATCAGAAGTGGTTAAAGGAACTTGGATGCAATTTGCAGTGCAAAAGCTCAGATAAGAAGAGTACTTATATGTCAAATAAGTAATAAAATCTACTTGAAAAGGCAGTAAAACTCACATTTTTAGTCTACATTGTAGTTTGCAACGCTGCCAAAAGGATTGCCTTTGGGATGGCTGTAATGTAGGACCTTAAAGGCAAAAGCTATTTTAAAGCATTTTCTTCATTTTATCTCTAAGCCTGGG